AGATTGTACTAGTGTATTCATCATTACAAACAGTCCAACCATGATTACTTTTATATTCTAATAATTATAAAAATTTTATTCAATTAATTTTAAAAATTATTATCAAGGTAACAATTTTAAAAGGTATTATCATGATATATTACCCGATTCTCTGTTATAGATGATTGCATAACCATAACCATATTTGATATAAAAGCAATAGTCCAGTAATAATTGAATATGCAACAAGCGTACAATGTCCATTTTATTAATAGAAATTCATTAGTTTGCTTAATTTGGGATCCCATTAAAATTTATAAAACTTAAACTCAACAATATTACAGTATATTATACTTATAAATTGTGAATCACATATTGTCTTAGTTTTAGTTTAAACCCTAGTTATTATAATGTTTTTAATATTTATTAGCAATAAGTTATTTTTTAATTTTATTAGATATTCATTTTCAAAACACTTAATATGGGAGACACCCTATTAAAATAAACTAATATTACTTGTACATTTTTATTGAATATTATGACAACTATAAAAACAGTTTACATTAAAAACAACCTTAACTAGCATATCTGATGTTAGAAAGCAAATTGAGGTTTATATATTAGGCTAAAAATACTTTATACTTTGCTGGAAAGCAATGACAAATATTTAAATTTTTAGCCTATATATAAACCTCAATTTGCTTTCTAACATGAGATATAATAAAATTTAATACTAAACTATTTAAAAATAGCTATTTATAATATTGTACAGTAAACTACTAATAAATTAAATAATTTCATAATGAGTCATAAATCAGTGGCCATTATAATGACCGACCTATTGCTGTTCATATTGCCCACCATGTTAATTAACATAATGTGTATTAATAGTGGACTGGTTAGAGTACGATGAGCAAGGTTTATCGTGTAATGGTGGGCAATCATCATTGGCAATGGGTGGTGTAAAGGTGATCTAGCTCTAAATTAAACTTAAAATACGATAAAATTATAATTTACACTTATAGTATAAAGTACTAAACTATGTACATTTAATATTTACATAAATTATATTACAAACAACAAAATCAATCTATTTGAAAATATTATTATAAAAAGTTAGACTTATATGTAATAATTAACTATAAATTGTTGTTATTTTGTTGCAAAACAAATCCAAATAGTTAATTATATAAAATAAATGTTATTTTTAACCAAGTAAGGCAATCATATTGTGATTTATTTATTATATTTATTTATGCCGTTAATATTATACACAAAAATTTAATGCTTTGACTATGATCAATATTTCACAATGAATTACAAATATCATACTTAAATATAAATTGCATGTAATTTAAATTAAATCAAAAAAATAATAAATTGCTTTAATTTGTAATCTCTAGTCATTATGATCTAAATTAAATTATTAAAACTATTAACCTTGATAATAATATAAAAACCACAGTTTAAGATTTGCTTAAAAATCGTACGATATCTAAAATTAAACATTTACACAAATATAAAGCAATTTTATATCACTATTACTAAATGTAATTAAATACTATGTATACTTTAAGTTATAGAGTAATACTTTCAATTTAAGCAAGAATTAGATATTAAATATCTTTATAAACATGTTTTCTTATTAAGTGTTGAAGGTTTTATGTTTTAAATTAAAAATTTTAAAATTACTTATTACGTTAGGAATGTGCGGTTAATTAGGAGGTACTGGAGTGGTGGACACGGATAGCAGGCTACGTAATGATAGAAATCATTTTCAGATGGCGACACATACTTAAAAAGACATAATAAGTTTTATATTCAACATGGATATTATATCAAATTATACAGTCAATCCACAAAAGATATATTGTAGAATCTTGTAACTTAAAATTATGTAAGTTACTTAAAGTTTAGATATATCTATGACAAACAATCATGGACATTAATTTTTTGGATTAACTGTATATAATTTTATAAGGTATTTTATATATAAGGTATTTAGAATATTTACAACTTTTGTAAAATTAACTTACACCTTTACAAAAGTTAATAACATACGTATACGATATTTGATTAAAATCTCAATTTCTATCACTTGAGTTGTGTTTAAAAGTAAACAAAACCTTTAATTCAAAAAGGATTATTCGAACTGAATCTAGATTGACAAAAGTATTTTCTTAAATTAATCCTTTTGGAGGTAAAGGTTTTGATTGCTTTTAAACACAACTCAAGTGATAGAAATTTAGATTTTACTCAAATAATCTGAATTGCCAAAACTTTTTCGCCCATTGAAATGAATTGAAAGCCAACTTTAAAGGGATAAGTATAACTTTAATATAACCCACATAATGTTTAAGTTTAAATCGTAGTCATTATATTAATATATGTAATTTATATAATATCCATATAAACAATATTAATTAAGTTATTTATTAAATTTATTAAATTTTATATTATAATTTCAAAAAAAACTTAATATGTGAAACACCTTATTAAACTCAACAAATATATAGTAGCTTATTCATTTTTATTGCATAAATAAAATAAATATTTATTTATGGCAACTATATCAGAATAAATAATTAAAAATCTGAAATATCATCATATATAAACTATTTAAAATAAGCTACTAATATTTTATAAATTTTATAAACAAATTCTGAATAAAAATACACAATTTTAAGAGGGTACAAATTAACTGTAATTAATTATAATTTATAATCTCGAAAAAATGAGTCGAAATTATTATATCCAGGTGATGGTCGATCACCAGCACAAAAGTCCAGTGAATTCTCAATGGGGGTCACAATGGGTATCTGATTCATCCCGTTATACAACTCCCCGTTTCCTTGGCTACCTTTCCGGCTACTATTCCCTTCAAACCTATCGTCCTTAGTATCAGCAATTTGTAAACCACTGAAGGGAACGCCACCTAAACGTAGGTTATCGGCCATAAACCCACCATTACTTCGTTGGCCTCCCGACTGATAGTCACCGACATATTGACCATCCATTGCCTGCCAGCCCATAGACGAGGCACTGACTACTTGTTGAGCCCCTCCATCTCCAAAATAAGTTACCTGTCCATGAGATGTAGGCGCCACCCTATGCGATATGCCACCCATTTGTAAGCCTACGTCCATTTTCGATGCCACACCCATTTGTGATACCCCTCCCATTTGAAGGGCTCCACCTACGTGTGAAACTACTGGTCTCGCATACGCGGTATTGCCTACCGGTGTGGTCTGGGGTGGCAATAGGGGTCCATTCATTTGCGTGCGTACCGTTTGGTACAACTGATTCAAATTAGGGTCGATAGAGGGCTGGGAGGGCATGGCGTCCACCACGAAAAATGTCTGCCTCGTGGCCATAGTCGTGGCTATACTCATGAGCCGGTCCTGTTTGATACGGTGACAGTCGGAGGCGAATACAAAGGCCAAAATTGTGCATGCTATGTTGAATATTAAGCTTGGTAAATGGGCCACATTGCGTATTACGACCGTTATAGTGGATATGGTGGTCAGTGCCATGAGTATGGCGTAGGCAATGGACAGCCCAAAGTGCTCGTTGAATGTACCCAGTACACCTATGGTCGGTATTATGAAACTCACGATGCCCACGATTATGTAGAACGGTATGAAAAAGCCCTGGTAATTCAAATAGTTGATAAATAAAGTATTATTTAAAAAATAATGTGTGATTATACAAAATGTAAAAAATTAAACTGTACTAGTTTGAAATAATACTACATTTTCTCTCTCTCTCTCTCTCTCTCTCTCATTAACTCACTTATTCACTCATTGACTAAATTTACTAGATAATAAGTAAATAATTATTAATTGAATTTAAATAAGAAACATAGTTTTTGTTATAATGTTATATAATATAAAACTATATATTATAAATTAACATTTTAGAAACAGTAATATTATAAAATACTATTCTAGAGTAATAATAATGATTTTCATTATATAACAAAGGTTTCTATGAAGAATATCAGTTTTGCATGATGTCTATTAGGAAAATAAAAAATTATGTAAGTTATATACACTGTATTTTTAATTAAAACTAACAAGTAAGCAACGCCTACATAAAGATAATTAAAACATTAAAAACTGTATGAATTCAATATTAATAATATACTATTGTTATGAATGATTTGAAATTCATTAATAAAATATTATTAAAATATTCTACAAAAAAATTATAAAAATAATAATAGTAACAGTTAATACTTTAGAAAACAACTTATTATCTCAAAAGCATACTGACCCAGGTCTGTTTTGGCTGTAGCCTAATGAACACAATGCCGGCGATTATTATATAGACAGTGACGGCGTAACCGATTACGCAAAACGAGAAA